AATCTGCTGCAAGGATTTTAATATCTTCTTAGTTTTTCCCAGCTAGATATAAACTGGCAAAACAAATACAAATTAAGTTTAAGAAACTGATGAAAATAAAAGCAAACTACCAAAATAAAAGAAAAAAAAAAAAAAAGGAAAATCTGTTCTCTTTGTAACATAAGGCATTTAACAGAAATTATGCAAAAAATTGTGCTTGGGTTCAGGGATGCTGGACAGCAAAGGACTACAATTCTTTTTATCTTGAACTTTTCAGAAACAAAGGGCAGTCACGGGCCAGTCTCAAGAAATGCCTTTGCTGTTTCCTCTGAGTTTATTAAGTGTAGTGGACAATTCAGCATCCCAGCTGCAGTGGCTGTCTGCCTGATTTCTCGTTCAAGGTAGATTCTAGTGCAATCCTATTAAAAAAAGCTTGCCTGTGGTTGGTGAGTGTGATGGATTTATTAAAAAAAAATAAAATGATCAGTCAGATGAAAGTAATCTCCAGAGTGTATTCATTTAGTTATTTAGTTGGAATTTGGTGCAAGCATTCAGTCTTAGGCATTAAAGGACACATAAGTCAGAACTGTGAGCAGAAGTTTATGCTTAGCTGCTTAATTCAGCTTGATGTCAATGAATATTTGTGGGCTTCTGTGGCAAGGCGTGGGGAGAAAGTAATAAAACCAAGAATAATTGTGTTTCTTACCCATACCCTGCAAACCCAAATTAGCTATTTTTTTTTTAGTCTCAATCTACAAAACATGGGGATTTGTTATTAACAACTGGAAAATGAATCTACTTGCAAGCTATGAGATTCGGAAAGACAACAATGTTTATTTATACCTAGTTATAAATATTTTTATACTCTGTTCTTGGGAAGGAGGACTACAGAGTTGAATTATCTGTTTCATACTCTGAAATTAGAATAAAAAGATAAACAGGGCACCAAAACACAGGAAATTCAGCATACAAACAAGCAAACAAGAACTTTGTTTCTGAGCTTTGCTTTAACGCCAGTGCTGGTCAAATAGGTTGCATGATAACACTGGAAACAGCATAATGGCAGGAACCCATAGAGTCTGTACAACTGTTTTACCAAAAAAGGTGTATGTATTTGAAACCAAATTGCTATGGATCCATTCTCTTTCCATGGAAAAACCTTCTCAAGTGCCACTTCAGGGGAGTTGTTCAGGGTTGTGCAGTTTCATCGGAGTTACAAACACTTGCAGCTACATGGTCTGGATATAAGTGGTGTAATATAAGTGCAAGGGATTTTAGCATGATGTTGCAAACAACACGTTTAGTTGGTGCTGAGATTGTTGGTTGAGTACATACTACTGCGTGAACAAGTACGTACTACATGGTTGAGTAGTGACAGACACACTGGGAAGAAATTAAATAATCTACTAACCAAAGTCAGGCAGTTATTCAAAGCAAGTCCTGCCAAGTGGTGGATGGTGTGTCTTCTCTGAGGGTGCAGGAGGTGACAACAACAAGCCTAACTGCAGCCTCCAGAGAGCTCATTTAAAAAAGAGCAAGGGCAGTGGCCTCCACACGCTCCTGGTTCTTGACATCCTCGAGTTTGCAGGCACCAGCCTTCACTATGTGGCTGGTGTAACACTGATCCCACACAAAATGAATAAACAAGAAAACAAAACAAAAGGCCAAATAAACAATTTTAATTTACATTTTGGCTTTATTTCTCTGTATTTTCAACTAGGACGTGAAAGGCAAAAATCCCAGACCTTGCTTTTCATGTTTTTATGCACCATTGGTAAATGTTTATGTGGGATTTGGCTGTTTGTATTTCCAGCATATTTCAGCCTGATTTATGAATGTGCACAACAGGCTCTGAAAGGCTGCGTGAGTCCTGAGAAGCCAAACTCCTCACAACCACAAAGCTTACAACCATGGGAAAAAAACAAAATTAAATAATTTTATTGTGATCAGCAACCAAAAGTATTTAAAACTGAACAAAACTTTTCCTTCTTGAAAGGAGACGTGAAATGTCTTTCAATATTTGAATGACATTTTGGTGAGACCTGAAATGTCTTCTGATTGAGATTCGATTTCTTGGGTGAGATTTACAGTTTTCTCTGGTTTAGGATGTGTGTCCATGGGAAGGCTTCCAACTGATTTGACAAACCTTTAGATCATATTGTGTGGTTCAGCCTTAAATATAGCAAACAAAACATCTTTGGATTTATTTAATCTAGAGGAGTGAAAACTTAATGGAAAAAACATCAGTCTTCGAATAGGTAAAATACACCTTAAGAGAAAGGGGAGGAAATGACTCCCCATGGCCAGGATGGACAGGGCAAGAACTAATGGGCTTGAACGGCAACAGTGAAAATTGAGGGTAGGCATTGTGAAAAGCCTTGTCAATGGTGATACTAATTTCAATAGTGAGTCTCATTAAGCATGAGAAGAGATTGCCTAGGCGAGTTAGGGAAACATCTGTTGCGAAGATGTTGGGCTGAGGTGGTTGTGCTGAGGGTGCAGAGGAAGCTCCAGCTAATGTGCTTGTGGATGCTCTGGGTGAGCTGTGGTGCCCACGGCCGAGGAGGAGGTGGTACGGGTGTGGGAAACAGGCTGCGGTGTTCATGGGGACAAGCGCCAGAACGTGGAGCAAGAAGGAGACCAGGGCTATAGGAGGGATCTCAGGAGCAAGAGTTGTGTGTCATGATGAGATAACAGAAATGACAGGAGAGAAAAGAGCAATGGTAGTTGCACTAAAATGGTTGGGCAACTTTTTCTAGACCTCTCAAGGCATGATGATTTCTGTGCTCTGTTGCTCCTTATCTTTGCAAATATCATGAATGAGGAACCAAAGAGTCTTTCAAGGTCTTCCCTGTGAGGTTTGGACATTTGTTTTACCTTTGCTGCTAGATTTCCCCCCCACCCCACTCTTTACAGTGTAACTCCATTAAAATGCTTTGCTGTAGCCACATACACGGAGCCCAACACTTGTACAAAACAGAGATACCTCACACTTCTTCACAGCAGTATGTAGAAGTGTTTCAAAATACAACCAATGGACAGAAAGTCCAATACTGGAGGAAAAGCTTTCTCTCCGACAACGTGGAGAAACACACTGGCTGTAGAAGACAGTTATGCCTCATTGGCACCTAGGGGAAGCTCCTGTCGCCTTTCCTGAGGCCCTCACCTTTGGTGGTGCTGTGGGAACAGCTGCGGGTGTGGGGCTGCTTGGATGGGAGAGGATGCTCAGGGACTCGGTCAGCCATGTGCTTTGGAGGGAACACAGGGATGGAGGAGATGAGGATAAACAGGTCCTTAGGAGTCCCCTGAGCAATGTGGGTCATTTCGGTTTTGTGTGTGACACCCAGGAGAAAGTAATGGAAGGCAAAAGAAAAGAATCAAGAATGAAAAGTCAGCAATCTGGCTTCCTAGGGCCAGATATTTTCTGTAAATTTGCATGTGCAGAAAGAAAAAGAATTAGCTCATTCTTTCTGAAGCCTACATTAAGATATTTAGAAATTCCCTATTTAGGATTTCAGAAGCAGGGGCTCAGTCCATCTCTTGGTGAATTTTTAATCCAACAGACCACACTCTTCGACACAGTAAAACATTCATCTGTCTTTTAATCACAGAGACGTTAATTTGAAAGACAAAACAGAATTATTGCTTTGTAAACATTCCTTCCTTTGACTTTAAATTACACTCCTCACATAACAGATTACTTTAGCTTGGAAACCTCTGCATTTTATAAATAAGCACAGATCCGTTATTGTTTCAGTGAGAAATTCAGCATTAAAAACACTACTCAAAAGAATTAGAATATTGTATAGTCACAATTCCAGATGCCATGGTAAGATCAATTTTTACATTTCCTTTCCAGATATGACCTATTACTTCTCCCCAAATTAAATCTTCCTTCCTCTTAATAAACCTTGAAATATTTATTGATGCCTCATTCATATTTTCTCCCCAGCTCACAAAATGTTGAGGCATTAGGTAAATGGTCTTAGAAGGATGTGAGAAGAGAATTAAAGAGGAGGAAAAGTGATATAATGATTGTACCAAACAACTTGTGACACGAATGTTGAAATTACTTCTTAATCATTTAAGAGGTGTTAGGATTACAAAGTTATTCTAAAGCATTGTAACAGGCTAGGATTCATTGTAGGTAAAGATATCACAGCTTCGTACAAATGGCACATGTGTGACTGTCGTCAGCGAAGCGTTTTGGCGGTTCATAATATGTGACGTTTGCCCTGTAGTCATTTAGTGGATGATGCAGACCTTTGATCTCACATTATCCCATGCAAAAGCGGTTTCTTCAGTGCAGGTCTCACAAGAAAACCGGCAAGAACAAAAACGGCAACTGCCAGGACAGCGACAACAGCAAGGACCGGTGTGAGGGGTTTATCATCACCAGCGGGAAGCGCCTGGACAGGAGGTGCAGAAGAGTCCAGCCCTGCGAGTGAAGGCAGAGGGGTTTGGTCTCAATATATTAAAGATCAGGGCACAAAGAGCTGCTGCGTTAAAAAGGATGGTTCCCAGGTTTAGAAATAAGCTAACTTCTTACAGATTCATTGATTTAAACTATTTGAACAGGCTTTATATTAGCATGGATGACAACTTAACTAGGCAAAATTCGTAAGCAGAAGACAACTGAGGGGATTAAATGTTTCTCAAGAAGGGTGGGAGTTTGCTCCCAGCTGGCCATTGGATTACACAAGCAGACCGGAGCTAATTAGTTCAGTGGAGTTATAGCACTAAAGTGGGTTTTGTGCTACCTCTCCTTTAGGACAGCCAAAGCAGTTATACTTTTTATACATTCAGGTGAAAACAGGAGGTTTGCAAGGTGTTGAAAGAAGAAGAGATTTGTAGACTTTTGGGTCAGCCAAACAATCCCTTCCTTTTTATGGAGAAGTTAGCAAAAACAGATTTCAGTGACAGATGTCAGAAACGTAGAGCTATGGCTTTTCTTAAAGCCCAAAGTAGTCTTAGGATAAATATGGGAGAAATTTATTTGACTTTACCAGTCACATACTTACTCCTACTCTGAGCACCCCCTTCTAGAAGCTGAAGTGGTCCGGCAGCCACTTTCACATTTTCCTGGGCAGAATTTGTATCTCTCTTGGACCTGTTAATACAGCCCTGGTAGCAGCGGGAGGAATAGTCACCGAGCCTGCACACCACCAGCTCACACTGCAGGTAGACTAACGTATGGCGGCTAATGAACTCAAAGGCATTAAATTTGAACCGAGCAATGTGGCTGTAGGGGGAGTAGTATGTGGCATAGGAAGAATCTCTAACACATCTGTGAAGAAACGGAACAGAGAATCAGTCCTCATGGATGCACACATGTACATTCCTGCAAAAATACAATAGATTAAAACAAAATTATATCATAGCCAGGTCCTAAGAACATGATGGGATAAAAATGCAACTTTTATAGCATAGTATAAGCTTTTTAAATATAGACTTATTTAAGTCCTATGAAACAGCTAGAGCATTGGCAACTCTTTTTTTTTCTTTCAAGAAAAGGAGAATGTAAGTGGTGAAGAGGGGAGAACAGACTCTTACTAATGTCCATGCTATACAAGGCATAAAAAATGAGTCTAATGCTTGACCTGGTTTTACTAAAATATTTAACACCTAGGACGATAGATTCCTGCTGCCAGTTTTCACTGTCTCATCTCCTCTCATCTCATATCCCTCACTCCCACTACTTTGAATTTTGCATGTAGGACAAGGATGAAGTAAGCGAAATGAAATGTTAGTAAGGTCTAAATGTTATTTCTTATTTCCAGACTCATACTGTAAAAATAAAAAATCAAAGACCCCTTTTAACTGTCTGTTGATAATGAGATCTAAACCAATTCAGATTGGTTCTATTCTTTTAAATAAATGCAGAAAGGGTATTACAGTTATGCTTCTAACAGCTTGAGAAAGCTCTTACCCGTTCTTGATTATATCATAGGCCAGAGTGTTAAAATCATAAGGATCAGGTGATGCCACACATGTGTCCACAAACACGATCAGATTTGGATCAGAGCTGTGAAGATAGGCTTCAAGGTACAGATTTTGGTTCAAGTCAATGTAGTATGGGGAGTCGTGCACTTGCCGCAAGAACAATGAGGAATCATAAAAAGTGATATTCATGTCATATCTTCCAAACTGATTTTCATTCATGTCTATGGTATCCTCAGCAACATACATTATTTGCATCCATGTGTTCTGTAGCATTTTGCAACTGATATGTAAGTGAATGTTCTTCTTCCTCTTGATTATGTGCCCAGAAGATGTAACTCTGATCATGTTGGAATAGTTGATTGTATCATTGTGCTCCTGTTTAACATGTAATTTAAAATAAAGAATTGCATTTTTGTCATGTTGCAAGTTCTAAGCTTTCATAGAGTAATATGCAATTTAAAAATGTAGATTCATCTTAAACTCTTTAAACCAAGAATCTTGATGTTGGTCTTTTCTGCTCCCACATTGTAAATAAACCTGCTGAAGTATGTAATTAAACAGAAATTAGTGCAGAAAAACTCTTTGTTAAATCCAAGGCAGAGCCAACTCATTGAACATCTGTAGAAAACACCAACCGTGTAGTACCCAGTCATGCCAAACCTGCATGGCACTTACAAGACTATGTCTACTTTAAATCATGGAAACTTCATATAACTTCCTCCCATGCTTTTCTTCCTAGAAGCTCATTTCTATTAAACATGGGGATTCCCTAAGGCATGGAAAGCTAAAGCACTAAAAACCTCCGAGTCTCGTTGGTTCTCTTCTTAGCACTGTGGACGTGAAAGGCCCTTTCACGACCCTTTTCAAAGTGGGTCCTGCCACTCAGTGCACAAAACGGTGAGCGTACCTCTCGTAGCGTCCCACAGCCATTGTAGGGAATGTTGAATATAACCTCGTGTGACGTGACTGTTGGTTTACAGAAATTGTCATTCAGGGTGACCATCTGAGCCGAGTAGCCTTGAGACTGGAGATAGTCTCTGCTAACCACTGCATGCATGTAGTCTGGCAAGCACAGAAGGGCTGGTAGAAGAAGAAGATACAGTATATCAGTGACTTCAGGAATTTGTTAATGATTAAAGGCCATAATTGAACTAAATGTTTTTTTCCTAATTTGGAAGGTAGGCAGTTCACATACCAACCCATCATATGTCATGCACATAATTTCATTTCCCTAACATCTTTAAATATACACAAATATTTATTTTGCAAACCAAAGCAATACAACAAAAGCTTGCTCGTTGAGAAACACCGACCGGGAACTTACTAGTGTTGTGATCTGATGGAATGGAGGAGTAGTGAGCCTGAAACCCCCTGAAGGTGTATCTAGAATCGCTGTGAAAGCGAATGGTCATCATGTTTGAAGAGGATACGTATGTGGGAAAGAAACCAGAACAAAGTCTCCCAAGAAGCGGGGAAGAGTGTGGAGGCCCATCATAGACTTCAATGTAGTCATACTGGCATCTGTCGCTTTGCATCCTGGCAAACAAACATCAGCACCTTGTCAAATGTGTTTCAGAAACTCTGATTTAACTGCCTAACACATGATAAAATCTTTCAGCACTTAAGGTTTTCATGGCAGAGGTTTTATTCATTTTGTATGTAGGTGTAGCAGAAAGCTGTGAGCAGAAAATACTACAGTAATCCAGGTTTTGTTCTGGTCTTCCAACTGTTGGATATTATTGAAAGTATCTTTCAAATTGGCAAGGTTGCCTGTTTCAAATAAGTTTTCAAACTTCTCAAGTAAGTTTTGACTTTGTTATTTACCCAGGGAATCAATGTTTTACTTACGCAATGTCTCTAAATGTGAGCATAACACGGAAATTGTTCTCTACTTGTATTTCCCACACACAGTCAGCGTTGTTTGGATAACTTCCAGGATAGAATGGACTCTGCAGCATCCCAGAGGAATTTGAGATTGAGCCACCACAAAAATAAGGTGCTGCAGAAAGAAATGGAAGAGAATTTACTTACAGTTAACTCTACAAAATTGTACTTGAGCTGTAGGCGTCTCATCTGCAGCTGCTGAAAAGCAGGTCTCCCGCTGACTTCAGGTGATATTCTGTATGACCCAAATTAAAACAAATATTTGGTTTTGCTTTAGGTTCACTTTCATGTCAGATTTGGGATTCCCTGTCACATCCATGGTGTCAGACCACCCTCTTCAGGCTGGGCTGGTAACACCTTGATGCTTTCTGCTCTGGTCTCTGCACTTGAGGACTGATTCTGGGAGGTGTCATGACAGTCAAAATGAAAGTACCATTGTGAACAGACAGCATGTCCTCGGTTACTCTGCTGCTTCTCTTTATTCCCCTAAGGACTTTGGAGGATAAATGATTTGCAAGTCTTCTAGGAAACCACTCGTTTTTATGTTCTCAGACTGAAATAAGCACTCCAGACTGTTGGGCCAAGTCTTAAATATATCTCATTTCTCCTATAAGCGTAGCTGCAAAAAGCTTTTGTGTTCCTGCCAGCATGAATGACATATAATTCTTATGTTAAACACACAGATATGTGTTTAAAGTTTCCTTATAGGAGGGTGAGCACAAGCTCTGAACTTAATTCTTACAAGATATGACATGTAAAGGCAACAACCCCCCATTTTATAGTCCTGCACAGGGACACTCCCCAGTGCAGCACACTCCTCCCTGCCTCAGGATTTTGAGATTCTCAGGCTATTCCAAGCTTGGGAGCATCAGCTATACCCAGACACTGCCCCTTCCTCTGATCAGACTGGATGGACTCTCAGGCACCTTCACATTCGTACTGTTTTCTACTGTGAATGTAAAGCTCTAAATCTAAAACCTGCTTTCTAAGGCAAAAATAGCACACTGAAGACCATAACAACTCTAGTAAGCAGAAAAGCCAAAAATTACGCATTGCAATACTTGAACGCCACCCTGCCAGTGCTGATGTATGTGGTTAAAAGTTAGAAATGAGACAACACTTCCTAAGCCTTGACCCAGCTGAAGAACCCAGCAAGGAAATGGCTTGCCCACCGCCAACCAGCATAGCTGCAAAATAAGCATCACTGAAATGCAAAGGGATGTCACAGCCTAAGAATTATCATGCAAATTTAAAGTGATTTTGTCACAGAAACAAAAATCAAATTAAAAAAAAAGCCCAACAGGGAGACAGTCCACAAATAAAAATGGTGAGAAGAGCCACAGAAGACCATTACCTGATGGAGGTGTTGGGGTGACCAGGGCACCTGCGCGTGTGGGGGAAGAAGAGCCACAGGTGAGACGTGTTGCTCAGGAGAAAGGTGCTGGGGCACAGATGTGGCCCCACCTTGGGGCGTAGGGTACCACGATGGGGATCGCAGTGAGGAGGGGGTGGGGACAGGGAGGGGTGGGCACAGAGCGCAATGAGCTCCACCGGAGAGTTGGTGGCCACCGCTGCCCGCGTACCTTCACAG